TGTACTGCTTGGGCATAGGAGATTGAAGTAGTAGTGAATTTATGAGGACTGAGTATTTGATTGGCTGTCTCTTTGGCTCTGAGTTTAGAATACTTATTTATATATGTCGGGTTTACATTAAAATTAGGGTTAGGGACGTGAAATGAATCTTCATCTGGATTACACGTTGTCGTTATGCAACAGAGAAGACATTGACTAGTGTAAATACGATTATCATAGAACCGGACAAGTAGCCGTGGTAGTTAGATGAACCGTGGTAGTTAGGTACTCGAGAAACTAATGACAATGATCCCAGGTACAATAAAGAATCCGCGGTCGACGGGATGAAAGATGAACGTGCTCACAAAATCTAAGTCGGACGCGTAATATTCACTGGTCGTAAGGGGTTACTCTTTTCGTCGATGAGATCGCGAGAGAGAATGACTTTCCCGTCCCGATGATGCCACAGAGGAAAACTATAATGGGGTGTGTCTAAGGACACGAGATCATCGGATTCGTCGAGAAAAGCCTTCGTTCAGAATGTAAGGGAAATTGGCATTGCTGCTAATTGGTCAATCTCCATATCCGTGGTTAGAAAATGATGCTAGCCGTCCTCGAGGGAAAGTTGCTAGTGGGAGACGCCGCTCATTGAAAAATAGGTCTCCCCTATTTTCCCGTAGTTGGGACAAAGACTGTTTGTCTGTTTGAAGGACTTCAGTTGGCTAAATCTTAAGATTTATAACGGGCCCTCGGGCTAGCTGAACATGTACTGCGGAGACGCATCGACATCTGGCAATCATCTTACTCGAAGAATAGGGTCTGCGTGTGGCGAGCTACGGGACAGAGACCGTTGGAATGTTTACTGTCGAGTGTTACAACTATTTCCTTTTTAAGGAGAGCTATAGAATTATTCCATGCCTTTGTTAGACAAAGCGTTCATCCCGTGACCGCGGCTACGTTCGGCGACTGACAGTCGCCTCGAGCCCAAGCTCATTATCACAGCTCTCGAACAATTACAATCGGATTGAACAACTACGATTGTTTAATTACAGCTATAGTAGATTCTAGGTTACAATGTTGCGGGATTATCCAAAATTCCAAAGGCTCCGGTGTTCTTTCATCTCCGACATATATAAGGTTTTGTAGGCTGAGCAATCTTTGTAGTTAGCAGGATGGTCATCTTGACAGTGGATGCACTTCGCTGGGGTTTCCGGTGATTTAGTGCACTGGTCCGCGGAGTGTGTACCTGCACATTTAACGCAGCGGAAGGAATGGTTGCAGTATTTCTTTCTTGTGATCGTACCTTTGGCACCTTTTACATTACACTATTTTTTTTTTAACAAGCGGTGGTTCGTATTTTACTATTGAGTTCATGAGTTTACTATTGAGACGACTGATGTTGTAAATTTCCTTATTGTTAGGCTTTTGTTTTATGTCGATAAAAAATAAGGATAACGGGTCTTTCGAGATTCTATGCCTTATGTTATTAACGTTGATTACTTCGTTACCGTGTTTTAAGATTTCGAATTCGAGTTCATCTATGTTTGCTGAGGTGGATGTTGCGTAGAACCACTCGGAATGGTTTTTCGTGTTTAAGCTGGTATGTGTGGAAGTTGGCTTTCATAGTCTTTAGTAGTTTTGTGAGTCTTTTATATGCGTCAGGGTTTGTCGGCAGGATTTTTACTTTGTTGTTTGTTTCTAGGTTGTAGTCCTCTTTGCAGATATCTCTCTCTATGGACATAGTCATCGTTTGTATGTCGATGACATCATCAACAAATATTGGTCGGGGAAAGGAGTTTTTTTGGGTGTGTTGGTTTGTTGGTGGGTATGCAATTTCCATGGAGTCGTTTGTGGATTCCAATATGGCGTATCTGTTATGTGTGGTTACTTGGTTTGTTGACTGTTCGTTCTGGGTGGCGTTTGTGTTTATTTTTGATGCTTCTATTTTTCGCTTTTTAGAGCTTATGGCGTCATTACTACGAGGGGATCTGTTGCACTTTTGTCACGGAGGAGGTAGCTTGGAGCAATTGTGGATTTGCTCAGGAGAGCCTGGTCGTGATTCCTGGGCCATCATCGAGCTAGTTAATTCAAGTTGAATAACTAGTCGAGAGCCTATGAGGCTAGGATTCGGGTAGAGGTTAGGAGCGTAGGAATTTTTCTTTAAAAGGAAACGCTTCGGCATTCAACAGCGAACTGAAAAGAATTAAAAAAAAAAACATTGTGATTAGGATTAGGGGAGTGTAACGGATCTTCATTTGGATTAGGCATTGTTGTTATGCAATAGAGAAGACATTTACTAGTACAAATATGATTATTAGTTCAAATGTGGATATTCCATAATTGACAAGTAACCGCGGTGATTAGACACTAATGACAATGGTCTTAGGTTCGATAACGAATCCGCGGTCAACGGGATAACAAATGTACTTTCTTCCAAGTCTAAGTTTACTTGTCTACGATACAAGTGTTATTAAACTAGTGTTTTCGCACGTTCGCGAGGAGACGCGATCTCGAAGAAACGCGCCAACGGGAGTCGTAAATTCCCGTTACGATATGCTAATCGACGCCGCGAATCGCTCGATCCCTTATTTCGTTTAGGATAATAAGGGTAGTTAAATGAAAGATAACGGTGTTGCTAACAGGTTATTATATATTTTCACAAACCAACAACTTCGGTATAACACAAAATGAATATTTGTTATGATATGACTACGAATGAGTGCGACCTGAGTCTCTAGACGGATTATCGCGTATGTTGATGGATTTGTCGACTCACTGTATTCGTATTGCTGACCGCTTGATGAGATGCTTGATTGAGATGCTTGATTGAGACGCTTGGTTGAGACGCTTGGTTGAGACTGTGCTTTTCGTCCTTGTGTTTTACCGGAGGAAAGCTTGGTGTAGGTGTGCCCTTAGAATGAAGAACGCGGATTCGTTGCTCACACTTTTCGTTAAGGAGGTGAGGGAAACATCCGCGATGCCG